GGCTCGGGGCGCTGTGCCGCCCGCGGGACCGAGCCCCTGAGCAGAGGGTTTGCTCAGCCAGGAGGAGGCGCAGGCCGTGGACGAGGAGCTGTTCAAGGAGTACCAGTTCAGCGTGGACCAACTCATGGAGCTGGCGGGGCTGAGCTGTGCGACAGCCATTGCCAAGGTCAGCGGTGCCTCTTCACCCGGCCCCCGGGCCTGGACCCGGTGGAGTGGGCGGGACAGTGGGGGCAAGCTTGGGCTGTTGGGCCCCAAGCCACTCAGAATTCCTGCTGGTCTGCCTTCAGGCATATCCCCCCACGTCCCTGTCCAGGAGCCCCCCCACTGTCCTGGTCATCTGTGGCCCTGGGAACAACGGAGGCGATGGCCTGGTCTGTGCTCGGCACCTCAAACTCTTCGTGAGTATGCGGAGGGCTGTGGGAGGCTGTACGGTCGCTAGGATCTGAACGTGAATTACCCCTTTGCTTTCCTCGCAGGGCTACCAGCCAACCATCTATTACCCCAAAAGGCCGAACAAGCCACTCTTCACTGCCCTGGTGACCCAGTGTCAGAAAATGGACATCCCTTTCCTTGGTGAAATGCCCCCAGAGGTAGGTGGCTCAGTTCACTGCTCTCCTCCATAGTAACCATTGTATTCTGCTCTTCCCTCAGGCTTCTAGGCTGAGCTCATTTGCTTATCTCCCTCTAGAGCAGTGGTTCTCAACCTTCCTAATGCCGCGACCCTTTAATACAGTTCCTCATGTTGTGGTGACCCCCAACCATAAAATTATTTTCGTTGCTACTTCATGACTGTAATGTTGCTACTGTTATGAATCGTCATGTAAATATCTGATATGCAGGATGTATTTTCATTGTTACAAATTGAACATAATTAAAGCATAGTGATTAATCACAAAAACGATATGTAATTATATATGTGTTTTCCGATGGTCTTAGGCCACCCCTGTGATAGGGTCGTTCGACCCCCAAAGGTTGAGAACCACAGGTTGAGAACCACTGCTCTAGATGTTAAACTCTTGAAGGGTCGGAATAGTGCCTGGCACCTCCCCTGGTCACTCCTTTCACTCTGTAGTCATTCCTCTTCCCCTAGGATGCAGTGAACACATTATCCTAGGAGCTGAATTCAGTGCCTAAACCCTTTCTGCAGATGCATGGATTTAGGGGGTGGGAAACTTGAGAGCTTGATGGGCTTTTATTTTATTTTAATATATTTTATTGATTTTTTACAGAGAGGGAGGGAGAGGGAAAGAGAGTTAGAAACATCAATGAGAGAGACACATCGACCAGCTGCCTCCTGCACTGGGGATGTGCCCACAATCAAGGTACTTGCCCTTGACCGGAATCGAACCTGGGACCCTTGAGTCTGCAGGCTGATGCTCTATCCACTGAGCCAAACCGGTTGGGGCAACTTGATGGGCTTTTAAAAAATTTAACACATTTTATAGATATAAGTGGTTTGTCCAAAGTAACAGACCAGACCATGGCAAAGCCGAGACCAGAACCTGGCCCTTCTGACTCCCAGTCTCAGGCTCTCCGATACTGTAGCCGCCCCAATGGCAGGTAGGCAGAACTCGATGTCTGGACTCAGCTTGACCTGAATCAGGGACCCACTTGCACTGAACTCTGTCTCAGAATATCATCTGAATGAGACAAAATTGTATTTGTGCCTCTGTGGGTACAGAGGACAGCCTCTCCTATTAAGAGCTCTTTGTACAGCTGCTGGCTCTGACATCCTTGACTTTTCCTGCTCCACCACAGCCCCAGCTGATCGATGAGCTATATGAGTTGGTGGTGGATGCCATCTTTGGCTTCAGCTTCAAGGGAGATGTTCGGGAGCCATTCCACAACATCCTGAGCGTCCTGAGTGGACTCACCGTGCCCATTGCCAGCATCGACATTCCCTCAGGTGCTGGGTTCAAGGAGGTTGGGATTGGGGCCCTGCCCTGTTTTGAGGTAGGTACCTAGGAATCCTGATCCTTGACTCAAGGCTCAGACCAAGTCTAAAATGAGTCTAGAGGTGCAGAACACAGCTGGGAGCAGAGTTCAGGAGTACCCTTTGCATGTTGGCTCCAAGAGACCTAAGCCTAGGGACACAGGGAGCGCCAAGGATGCAAATTCCTCAGGTGGGATGCAGTCCTAAAGGGGGCTCCCATTTCTTTAGGTCTAGGGTAGAGCAAGGTTTGGAAGAAGACTAGACATCTGGTCTCTTCTGCTCTTCCTGAATGCAACCCTCTTTTCAGGATGGGATGTGGAGAAGGGAAACCCTGGAGGGATCCAGCCAGACCTGCTCATCTCCCTGACTGCACCTAAAAAGTCTGCCACCCACTTCACTGGTCGCTACCACTACCTGGGGGGTCGTTTCGTACCACCTGCTCTGGAAAAGAAGTACCAGCTGAATCTGCCACCGTACCCTGACACGGAGTGTGTATACCGTCTGCAGTGAGGGAAGGTAGACGTTTGTTCTTCCCAATAAAGACTTCGTGCCTCTCTCTCTCCCAGATCGGTGGAGACCTGGAAGCTCTTTGGCAGTAAAGGTTAACGGTGGCCAGCAACACTGGAGATATGGTGTCCTCTTTGGGGAAGAACAAGCAAGAGAAGTTGCTGTGGCATTTGGGGGCACTACATACTGACTTTCAGATACTGAAAAAGTCTCCCAAGTGAGGTGTGCTTGTCCTTTATACACACATTAACTCTTACCCATTAGGGACACAGGACACTGGATGAGGTTCTCTAAGCCTTCCCCTTCCATTCAACAATGTAGCAAGACCCCAGGAGGTTAACAGAAGGAATTTCTTCAAAGGTGCCCAGGAAACTTAATTTGTATTTAGGACCTTCCCAGGCTGGGAATGGAGATGCCAGTCAGGACTGATATATAGGCTAGGAGCCCAAGCTGACGTTTATTGACTCATTTGGCATAGTGTTAGAAACCAGCTCACAGAATGAGATTTGTATGGTTTCCTTAGCTTCACAATATTTAAGAATCAGGATATATCACATAAGTCAACATTTTGTTTCTTTTAGCAAGGATGCCCCTTCAAAGGGTATCTACATTCCTCTTCCCCCAGCCCCAAGCACTCCTTGTCCCTTGGCTGCCTGGCTCCGATGGGCATCTGAGTTCATGGTCTCTGGGTGAGGAGCTGCAAAGGGGAAGAAGCCCATTCCCTCAACTAAGGCAGGTGCTACTGCTCTCCTCTCAGCATGCTGGTATCCAGAGCTGGTTCCTCCTCGGGAAGGACTCCTCGCTGGGAGGGTGCAGGAGACCTGCATCAACTCAGGTCTCTGAGGCCTCAACAACTCCTGAAAAGAAATTTGATCGAGGACTACCCTCACCCGACCTTCAGTCTCTCTTCTTCAGTTTCTTCTTTTTTGCTCTCTGGTCAGTGCTGACTGTGGCTCTTTCCTCCTCTGCTTGTTGCTGCCTCCTCTTCTTACCTCTGCTGCTTGAGCCAGGGTGTGCTCTGCTCTCTGCTTCCCTAGTCCTGCCATCCTCATGTCCATCGCTTATGTCCACGACACCCTCCTCCTGATGCCGCCGTCTTTTCTTGCTTCTGCGTTTCTTATCACTGCATGCTCTGCTTTCTGCTTCCCTGGTCCAACCATCTACAACAGCTTCCTCCACTTCTTTATCCTCTATATTCAAGTCTTCCTCCTCGCACCACTGCCTCTGGCTTCTGCTGTGTGAATCAGTGTGTGCTTGGCTCTCTACCTTCTCTGTTCTGATACCACCTACACCCCCCTTACCTCCTCCTCTACCTAAGACCCCCTGCTTCTCCTCTTTGTGGTGCTGCCTCTTCTTTTTCTTCCTTTTCCTGTGGGATGAATCAGTTTGTTCTCTGCTCTTTAGTTCCCCAAGCCCTCTTGTTTCTGTGACCTCTTCCTCATCCTCTACAGTTGTCCCCTCTTTCCTATCTTGAAGTTGTCTTTTCTTCTTGCTTTTCCTGATGCTCTGGTCAGTACATTCTGGATACTCCTTGTCTGCATTCCTTTCAGTTGCTGTAGCCTCTTCTTCCTCTTTCTGCTGCTTTTTCTTTCTTTTGAGGGGCTTGCTCTCAGTCTGCAGTTGAGAGACCCCAGGGTCCTGGCCTTTGAGCCGAGCCAGGAAGGCCTGCTCCTGGGCCTCCAAACGAGCAAGCTTAGCCTTCATCGTAATTCCATGACGGGCAGCCCTGAAATAGGGCCAAAGTCAGAGGGTGGGTATCAGGAAAAAGCCTAATTCTTGAGACTGTAGGGGAAGTTGGTAGGGGAGGAGCTATCTTAAAAGCAGCTTCAGATATGGGCAGGTAGTATGAATCACTTTCCTGGGATAAAAAATAGTCAAGAAGTTGTATAGGCCATCCTCAGGGGTGGGCTTGTAATAGGGAGAAAAGGGAGACCCAGGAGCTAACAAGTAACTACTTACTTGTGTGCTGTTCGACCCTCACAGGCTTGGAGCAGCATCTCATCAGTCAGACTGGTGGAGGTTTGGGGTGGGGGAGATCAGAAATTACAAACAGCTCTGGTGGGAAAGCTTGACCTCTCCTCCCCTCTAAAACATTCCTTCGAGATACAAAGATTAGTACAGCACAGTTCCACCCCGAAGAAGCCCCAGCCAAGCATTATTTTAGACCTGGTCCTTTCTCTTGAGATCTGCAGCATCTCCTCCCACTTGCCCCCAGCGCTAAAATGAAGGCTCACATTTTTGAAGGCTGGGGCTCCTGGTTGTCATCATCACTGCAGCTTTCCAAGTCCTTGTCTGGCTTCTCCCCATCTGAGGTCAGTGTGGCAGTCTAGAAGGAGGAATCATGAAGTGGACAAGGCCCACTCAACACACCACTGCTATCCCTTTTCCCTCCTGGGAGCCTCCCCAGGAATTCATACCCAGAGGCACAAATTTGCCAGCCCCCAATATCGCTCCTGCAGACCACAGAGAGCTGCACCAAACTGCATACTTCAGCTTGAGCAGAAGGGCTGTGGGAGGTGGGGGGAGAGCAGCCCTGGCCTCCTGGCTAGTGGGCACAACAAGAAGGGAGAAAGGGCCATCAGGTCTTCACAGTGGGACAAGTGTCCCCGGGTGGTCATCCCATAGTCCAAGTATCTTGACAATAAAAATGACACCTTTCCCCCCATCCCCAACACCTACGCACAGAACTTTATTTGACCAGATTGAGAATCTACTATGGGCCAAGGATTGAGGATACAGAGTGGAAAAAGAATGAGATGGTCCAGCCCAGATGGAATCTACATGGTGAGGGGGAAGGGAATATGGCAGAACATTAGCAATTAGGATGAGAGTTTGTGCTACAGGAGGGGTACCCACTCAGATTTCAGGGTTTAGGAAACAGTTTCTAGAAGTGGCTGAGCTCTAGGAGACAAAAAAAATCAGGTAAAGGAGGAAAGGGAGAATAACCCAGGCAGAGGGAATAGCATGTGCAAAAACTTAAAAATAACGACTCCATCTGGCTAAAGTATGAAGATCTTGAGATAAGTGGCAAGGGACGGAGCTAGAGAAGGTGGCAGGGACAAGGCCACAGGAGCCAGTCTGATAATCTATGTCATCGTAAATCAAGGTGTCAATGAAACAATGAAATTTTTGTTTTAGAGCACTCTGGGTGCTGTGTGGAGGATGAACTGATTGGAGCGGGGAGTTAGATTAGAGGTGATGAGTCTGGTTTATAAGGCTGTTAAATTAGGTAGGAGATGATGGTCTGGGATAGAAGATGGCCACAGAGATGAAGAGAAATGGGAAAGATTTGCTAGATACCATGTAGAGACCTTGGCACATAATAGGTGACCATTAAATATTAGCTCCCTTCTATTGATATGCTTAGTAGGTGGGAGTCTGAAGACCTGGGTTCCAGTCCTGTCTGCCATTACTAGCCAACTGTGGGCTCTTCAGCAAGCCCTTCTTGCCCCACTGTTGGCCACATGTGCAAAGTAAGAATGGACCAGATAATCTCTCAGGTCTCTGACTTCCAAGTCCTTTGAATTGGACATCCCCTCCCTGCCCCACTCCGGCAGTTCCTAACTATGCCCTACCACCCACTCTGTTGCTGCCACCCCCCCAGTTCTTGCCTAGGGTCTGAGCAGTGTAAGCAACAGCAAGGGGTTGCTCACAGGATCCCACTGTTAGGACAATCCTGAGAATATGCAGGGCATACAAGGCAACTGTCCAGGCCCCAAGGAAGGAAAAAAAATAGGATGAACCCTCTCACCCCCAGCCTCTAATACCTTCACAAACTTTTGATACAGCATGTTGGGCTTGGGATGATTATGACGGGTGGTCTCCTTAGAAAGGCGCCTTATCTGTACTCCGTCCTGTGGGGAAGTTTCAGTGAGTGGGTGACATACCCTTGCTCCCTCACATCCACATGTCCCAGGCCCTCATGTTTCACATGCCCATCTATTAGACTTCATACCTGCTTAGTTTCCACTACCAAGCTGGCTGCTGTTTTGTTGAAGAGCTCATTCCACCAATGGTTTGTGAACTCCTTGGCAGGGTCATGTCCCACCTGCCAGAGGAAGAAGTATGAACTCCGAACCTGCCTCCCTGTCCTCAAGGGCTCTTGCTTTCCCCCATCCACACCTCCCTCAGCCTGCCCAGTCTTACCCCATGAGTGTCCTGCTTTAGCGTCACCCTGAGGGCCTGGGTAATGCCATTCTCTTTCCGGCCCAGGCCTTTGCCTGCAGAAGACAGTGAGTGACTTAGCTTATTCTGCCTGCCCCAAGCTCTCACAGGCACCCCAGCACATGCCACTGGTAGCACTGGGCAAACTCTATCCCTCTCGGAAGCCCTCCGAGTTCCATTCTTTCAGACACCTCTCCATGCAGTCCCCCTGCCGTTATCTGAGCCTGAGCTCTTTTCCTTTATAATTCTTTCAGGACAGATGCCGTGTTTCTTCCCCTCTGCCCCAGTCCTCCCAACCATTTCTTAATACCCATTGTCAAATTTCTTCCTCTTCTCCCCTTTTTTGGAAAAGTCAGAAATTTTCTTCTGCAAATTTCCCTTTAAGCTAGTTCCCCTCCTCCAACTGAGTGGACTGCACAGGGATATTCCAGGATGATGCCTCTCCCTTGGGCAGAGGGTAGGCAGGGAATTGGGGTCATGTGGAAGGTACCCATGGGGATCACCTGGAGTCCATCCGTGCTTTAGCAGCTGCTCCTCAGCAAACTTCATCCCATGACTCCTAACCTCCGGGGTGACCTTCATGTTGAGAAAAGGGTCACTGTCCTCAGGTCTTCACCAGAGAAGAAGAGGTCACTTATCATCCCTTTAAGAAGAAAGGAGAGAGAGCCGTCATACACCCAATCCATCCTGATTGCTCTCACGAGAATTCTTTCCTGAAACTGAGACAAAGACAGAGGAAGGAGCCCTGGTCCTTGGGGAGCTCCCTGTCTCACCAGAGAGAGGTCAATGCCAACATGTCAAAAGTTAGTAATGCCTACACTGATAAAGAGCTCACCGCATGCCAGGCTGTGCTAAGGCCTTACATGAATCATGTCACTTCATCTTCCCATCCCAGGAAGATTTTCTGAACTTTACCTTCAGGAAAGTATGACTATCCCTGTTTTAAAAATGAGAAAACGGAGGTCTAAAGAGGTTAGACGACTTGCTCAAGGTCATGCAGCTAATGTGTGTAGAACTCAAACCCAGGCAGCTTGTGTGCAGTCCCCACTCTTTGCCATGTAAAAACAGCAATGAGATGCTTGTTAACCTGAGTTATAACAGTACTTAATAGAGCCCATATCCTACACCTATGCCCTAGCACATACACTGTCCTTTCAGGGTGGGCGCCACACACCTCTTCCCCACCGCCACTGTCTTTCCGTCTTGTTCACGCACCCCTCTTGAAATTGTCCAGCTCAGGAAGGACACTCTTACTGAGCACTTAATGCACAACAGGTGGATTACCCATATTCTAGTTTCCTTTAATCCTGACAGTCCTGTTAGGTATTATCATTACTTGACAAATGAGGGAAATAAAACCTGTGTTTCTTGCCTGGGATTACACAGCTAGTAAGAGATGGAGCTGGAATATGAGCCTAGGTTGCCGACTCTAAAGTGGCCCTCTTTCTATCACATCCCCAACTAATTTCATTTTTTAATTATAATGTTCTTTTTTAAAAATTGTTGCTATTGCCCTAGCTAGTTTGGCTCAGTGGATAGAGCATCTGTCTGTAGACTGAAGGATCCCGGGTTCTATTCTGGTCAAGGCTTGATTCCTGGCCCTGATTGGGTGCATGTAGGAGGCAACCAATTGACGTGTCTTTCTCACATTGATGTTTCTCTCTTTCTCTGTGTCTCCTCCTCCCTTCCACTCTCTCTAAAAATCAATGAGAAAATATCCTCAGGTAAGGATTAACAAAAATAAAAATAAAAAAAAAGATTCTTAAAAAATGTTTTTATTGATTTTAGAGAAAAGGAGAGAGAGGGAAAAACATTGATGTGAGAGAAACATTGATCGATCACCTCCTGCATACACCACAACCAGGGATTGAGCCCGCAACCTGGTATGTGCTCTGACCTGGAATTGAACCAGGGACTTTTCAGTGTACTGGATGATGCTCAACCAACTAAGCCACACCAGCCAGGGCCTAATTGCATTTTTTATAGTCATTCCATTGTTCTTCTTTTTGGACCCCAAAATGGCTTTATTGAACTTAGATACCAGATTTGCCTCTGGAGTGGTTAAGATGGCTTATTACAAAGGCATTCAAAACTAAGACTACTACTGCTGACTCAATTCACTAACGTTAACTTAAACAGATAGTTTACAGACACTGCAGACTATTTTTAAAGCTGATCAATGGCATTACTGGGGTAATCCTGTAGCCTCCCAAAGTGACAGTTCTAAAGGTAAAACTTTCATGTGAGTTTAGAAAGGTCTAGTAAATATGCTTTAAAAAAATCAGATACATCATTTTTTAAAATATGTATTTTTTTATTAATTTCATAGAGAGGGAGAGAGAGAAACATCAATGATGAGAATCGTTGACTGGCTACTTCGGCACCCCCCAAACTGGGAATTGAGCCTGCAACCCAGGCATGCACCCTGACTGGGAATCAAACCGTGACCTCCTGGTCCATAGGTCAATGCTCAACCACTGAGCAACACCAGCCGGGCTGAGATACATCATTAAGCCACCTCTCCTAAGCATTATATATTAGGCTTAAGAATGAGGGCAAGCCCAGCCACTGTGGCTCAGTTGGTTGAGTGTCATCCCATGAAACAAGAAGTCACCGGTTCAATTCCGGGTCAGGGCACATGCCCAGGGCTGTGGGCTCAATCCCCAGTAGAGAGCATGCAGGACACAAACAATTGATGTTTCTATCTCTCCCCCCTCTCCCTTCTTTCTCTAAAATCAATAAAAACATAAAAAAAAAAAAAAAGAATGATGACCGGTCTGGTTAGGTTTGAAGAATAGCAAATTCAGAATGACTCACATTTCTGTTCACATTTCTACTGTGAAGAACGATTACCTGTAAACCTAGCAGATACCTTGACAGTCTCAACAGAAAAGCATTGCGTGAAGCCCTAGCCAGTTTGGCTCAGTGGATAGAGTGTCGGCCTGCAGATTAAAGGGTCTCAGGTTCGATTCCGGTCACCTCACATATGCCCGGGTTGCAGGCTCGATCCCCAGTAGGTTGCAGGAGGCAGCCAATCAATGATTCTCTCCCTCTCTGAAATCAATAAAAATATATTTTTAAAAAAAGCATTGAGTGCCGAAACCGGTTTGGCTCAGTGGATAGAGCGTCGGCCTGCGGACTGAAAGGTCCCAGGTTCGATTCCGGTCAAGGGCATGTACCTGGGTTGCGGGCACATCCCCAGTGGGAGATGTGCAGGAGGCAGCTGATCGATGTTTCTCTCCCATTGATGTTTCTAACTATCTATCTCTCTCCCTTCCTCTCTGTAAAAAATCAATAAAATATATTAAAAAAAAAAAAGCATTGAGTGAATTAATGGCCCTATCATGCTTCTTGATACTGTTAAAGTAAAATTGAAACACTGAAGTCTTTAAGGCCACTTCAAAACTCTGCTTCTTCTCAGAAGTTATCTATGACCTATCAGCTCCCAAATTTCAGTAACAATATAATAATAATACTTATGTATTTACTCGATGACAGCCTGTTGCTAATTGCTTAACACAGATTATCTCATTTAATCCAACAACCCTTTAGAACATGGTATTACTGTAATCTGCAAACGAAGAAATAGCACTGTGAAGTTTAATTATTTGCCCAAATCAAACAACTGGCATGTAGTGGGTCCAGGATCCCAGGCATCCCAGAGCCGGCGTTAATGGCCACACTCCTCGGTCTCTTACAGCTCTGTGCTCTCTGCAGTACCCCCCAGCCAGCCCCTTGTCGCGGTCATTGAAACAATACGCCCTGGAGCCAGGGACGGGCTTTATCCCCCAACCTCGGTGCACTTCGCGCAGCGCCAGGAAGTGAGAACGCGTTCAGTCAGTCGCTGAACTGAATGGCACGGGGGGAACTGCTGTGGACCTACAATGGACACCTGTTGCCAAAAGCAGCTAGGTCCCCGGGAAGGCTGCGAGCACGCTCTCAGGAACGGTCTCCTCTCCAGTCGACCCGAGTCTTCGGGAGAAGGTTCCTGGGCCTCGCTTCTTACAGCGGATCTGACCAGCCGGCTACCTTTCCCTGGGCCTCCTTCCTTTGCGGTCTACATTCCAGCCCCCGCCGCCCCGCAGTTTCATGTGGTAACGCTACTCTCTTGAGCCCGGGCTCGAAGTGGCACCACTCAGGAGACAGCAGCCCTTACCGTCACTGCGGAGTCCTCCCGGCGGAAACATGTGCAGATCCGACTTGTGAGCCGCCACCTTCCCGGAAGTACCGTTTTGGTCCTTCTAGGCTGTCGAAACCATAGAGACGAAAGCGGGAACCACTGTCCCGGTCCTCCCAGGAGAAACAGTCTGGGGGTGGGCCCATTGCTGGTCTGGTTGCTGTAGAAACTCGGCCCCAGAGCGTGCCCATTTCCGGAGGTTGGGGTGAAGG